CTTATAAAAATAGTGATACGAAACGTATTGATTTATAAGGAAAATACATTGTCCGCGTACGACGCGGTTCCACGTTGATTTCTGGATCAAGCATCTTCAAACACAGTCCCATTCTTTTTGGTTTGTCTATAGGGGATCCGTAAATTAATTTCAATTATGAAAAATCAACAATTATTTAGTTATCTTTTATATACGTACATGATTTTTGTTCCTATAGAAGAAATGCATGAACGATAAATTAATTTTAGATCAATACTCAGATATTAATCAAAGTTTTACTCATTTCAAGTTAAAAGACGTTAACATAAGATCCGTAACATGAACCAATCGAATTTTAACAAAAAGAAAAAAAAACCAATCGAATTAATATGCAAACAAAATAAATGCATGGCTAACATGGTGCAATCATTAAATATAATAATCCAGCTATAATTATAGAACATATTTTACATTTCGTCCGAACAAGTTGGGATGATAATATAATTAAAAAACTATAAACCCATTCTATACATTGTAGTATTAAACAAACAAAAAAATGATAAAACGATTATAAAAAAGAAGCACGTCGTGTCACCTCCATTCCTACCAAACCGCTGGCTTATCATCGACTCCGGTCGGCTAATCTCAAAATCAATTAGCCTGGTTCGACCGGTTAACTAAAATTCACAATCGATCAAATCAGGAATTAGAAATTTTGGTTCTTGAAAATCAAGTGAACAAAACGTAAATTCTTATCATTATTAATTTGTATATTTTTATCTAGTTAACTACTATAAAAAACCGGTCTACGACAATACGAAACCACCGGTTCGGTTTAGCCTATTGAGCTGCAAGCTGATGAAATTAAATAAGAGCGGTGCGACAAACGATCCGAGTCTCCGCAGCATTCTCCCTTTCTTCTTAATTCTTGTTCACTACGTAAACTCAACAACACTTGTCTATACATTTATGATTTATATATATGCATCCATTATGTATATTTTACAAACACAACACACACATTGACAACTTCCTAAGAGAGGAAAAAAAAATACTCAAAACTAATTCAAATTTCGATTCAAATAAACCAGAAGAGAATCATGAGAAGCGTGGTGAAGAAGCTACTATGGTGTGGATCCAAGAACTTTGCTTCTTCGAAGACATCTGCATTACCGGAAGAAGGAAGAGTTCGAGTTTACGTAGGTAAAGATAGAGAGAGTCAATGCAAGCTCGAGGTCGAAGCTAATTTGTTAAACCATCCAATGTTTGAGGATCTATTGAGATTGTCTGAAGAAGAATTTGGACATTCGTACGAAGGTGCTTTGAGGATTGCTTGCGACATTGATGTCTTCATCAGCTTGATCAATCTACTCAAAAACCACCAATCATCGTAACCCTTCACTTTGCTATAACATTAATATTTCCACAAAATTAACATAGCTTTTGATTATACCATTCTTGTTTCATCATTCTTTACTTGAGAGGG